ATTCCTGCATCTAAACGTATTTACAACATGCATCTAAACACGTTTCATAATTCACTATTCAAGGAATACTTTATTTATTTTAGTTTTTAATAAACTCTGTTAAAGGAAGAGAAATCACTATTTTTATTTACGTAACATTTTTTAACGCATTCTCAAGTAATTTAATCATATTGTACTCAGATCAATTAGGAGGATTATTATTCCTTTAAACATGAAGGTGGGTGTGAGTGTGGAGTCCACACCCACGCCCCCAAGCAAACAAAGACAATCCATCAAATTTTTCAAAATGGATACGTAATACTAATATAGTTGAAGGTAGAGTACCAAATGGCAATTCTTGATGTTCAATTATATTTGAATAAACATTTGAAAATTGTAAATTAGTGAATACAGAAAAAATATATATGAATACAAGCGTCTTCATCAAATTTGTTGATATTTCTTTTTTTACTGTTATTGGCTGTCACAAAAAATGACGAAATATGATTTTTGAATACACGAGTTAAACAAATTTCGACTAAATAAAAGTATACAAATCATTGAGAAAACAATTAGTCGTTTTTAATATCGTTCAAATCATAGTATCTACTCTTTTACTCTTCTTGTTTTCTTTTTTAATTAATAAGACTGTCGTAAATATTGAATCTTATAAACTTCTATCATCGTGTATTCACCATGATCAGTAATGTGCTCGATCTCAGTTATTCATATCTACTTTTTATTGTCCTTCTATTTCGTTGATTGGCCGTAGAAACACCAAAACGTAAAATGTCAAAAGGGCAAAATGTTGCAACAGACATGGCGTGAAAAAATGTTTAAACAAATTCTGACTAGTGAGGGTCATCCCAGTCAGACAAAATTGATAAAACAAAAATCATAAAAATGGTTAAAAAGTAAACGTGTGTCAAATCGTGAGAACTGCATATTTTAACGCGTTATGTACACATTATCATTCTAAAATGAGTTTTTACGATATCGGATAGTTTTACGCGTTCAGAGTGCGTTAAAATGTGTAATTTTTACAGTTTGGTTTTTGTTTCATATTTTAAACGTATTTTGACATGTTTCATTTCGAAATCAAGCAAATACCATGGGGTAAGGAGACAATTCAATTAATCATGATCACTTTTGAGCTAGTTAAAATAATGCTTTCTAACTATTTTAACTTTATTCTCGCCGTGCAAAGGATAAATGGATCGATGTACAGTAAGAATAGAATTAAAAAAGTAAGGAAGTATAGTTTTAACTAGCTCTCAAGTAATCATGAAGTATTGAGTTGTCTCTTTACTCTATAGAATTCGCTTATTTTATTATAATACGAAGTAACTATATGTGAGTACATAAGTGACATGTGCGTAAGTTCCATCATACCATCGCATTTACCTGAGAATAATTTATTCGGAGATTTGCTTCGAAGATGTCAACTACTTTTATTCAATTATTCTCTAGTTTTGATTCTATGATCGAAATGAAATCCAAATAACAACTCGTCGGTATCGTTGATAGAAAAAAAGAAAAAACTGGTATAGTTGATGACGCTAGATCAATTGCTTACATGACCAAATTGTCTAAGACAAACTAAAGGAAAGACAAGAAACATACAACCTACTAAAGTGCCGAACCCATTGTTTGTTCTTTACGCTAGAATATTTCTCAATTGTTTATACTGACCTTATCTTGACTTAATGAGAAGAAAAAGAAAATATTTCCATGAAAAGGATGTTTCTACGCAGTAATCAGTGAAATAAATTATAAAGCAAGAAATAATACCATAAATCCACTCGAATTTGAACGAAAAAATCTATTGATCTAATAGTTGAAAAATAAATGGAAGAAAACGTGTTAATGTGATGATTTGTTGTTGTCAGATTAAAATTGTTTGTATTGTTTCTCATTATCTACTCATATTAGCATTAGGACGTTTACGAAATTATTCAGAAGAAGGTTTTACAACGCAGCAAAAATTTCTAGAATCTTTCAGAATCTACTTGAGCATTATTTTCAATTCTTTAATGCTCATTTATTTTATATTGTGAATAAAACATTAGATCATTCTATTCACATCTTTTTCTTTTTATATATTAAAGCAGCATCATCTAAACTTACATTGTTGACTTTAAATCTGTTGCATTACAAGAAGTATCGACAAACGTAATATAACAAACTTATAATAAATCTATTGTTTATACAGATTATAATCGAATACGAATTTGAAAAAAAAACTATAATATGAATCATATTAAAGAAGAATAAATGAAAACTGCTAAATAGAATCCACCGTGTTTGAAACAAATAAATATATAAAAATTTCTTTAGAAGATTCTTTTCTGTTTTAACACTTGTAAACAGTCTCTCATCTGCTCAATAATCAGTTCAAATACGAATATGCACTCACATGTTGTATAAATACTGAGCATACTTTCTTGGATTTAGCCATCTATTTTTAACGTTCATGAAATAATATATTAATAGGGTATGGGTGTGGGAATCTATGGTCCGGGTGTGAGCGAAGAAAAGACGCATACCGACACCCCAAACTTGTTTTCTTCGATTTTTTCCCTTAGGAGGAAATCCATGTCGCAAAATCCAGATCATTTTTAGTGATAAACCGCTGTAATTGTCAAAACCGGCGGTTTACCGTGGTTAATTGCAGCAATGGAAGCCGGTCACCGAATCGGTAAAACTGCGGTAAATCGCCGTTTTTTTTGTCGATTTTTATCACATGGGAAGTGATCGCGGAAGGTATTCTTCGTGAAAAAAGAATTGTGATTTCAAAAGAAAAAATATTGAAGGTCTAGATCGTTCTAGAGGAACATTTATACAGAAAAGATATGAAAAAAAGCAAGTCAATTACGTAGCCGCCAGTTTTTATGAAACATTTCTATCTAAGATTATTTTCACAATTGCGGTCCCAATTTCTTTTGATGAGTAACACTTTTCGATCACTTCCTACCTAACTAGTAAGTGAAAAAAGTCGAAGAAAAGCACTTTTTCAAAATGTGTTTGGATAGTCATGGATGCATCCAAACGTGAGTTGTTGAATATTCCATCATATTTAATAATAGTAATGTAGAAATGTATGCATGAATGGTGAAGGTCGATTGTCTCATGAATTGAATCGTGTATTGCGAAATGATTTTGACCGAAAAGTGATGATTTCATCAATGTATGATGACAGGGATTCAAACACATTTTGACTTCTGACAACAATTCCATTACACAAAAAGCTGAAACAATTTTCAGAATTTTTCGAATAACATCGATCCTAGTCTTGATTTCTATAGGCAATTGATCAAATAGAGATCTGAACACAACTATCTATAGTAGAAGAAAGGAAATGACAATTTTAGATACTCGGTTTCAAGCACAATGATAATTTGTAAAGAAAAATAATCAAATGAAAGTACTTGACAAATAAAATACACGCAAAGTTTTATGATTTATTTAAGAATCAATGTATTTATCTTATGAGACAACGCTTTGAACGGATGTATTACCGAAAAAAGAGACTGACGATGTAATTCGTCAGAAATGATGACTTTTCAACTTGAGTATTTGAACAAGACACTGACGTTGAAATTTTGTATTGTAAATGAAGCTTTGTAGAACGATCGAGAATTGATCATTCTCCACAAAATATTCTTTTTTATTCCTCTCGTTCAAAATCGAACATAAGCATAACTCTGTATTTCATCAGAATTTGGTCCCGGGTAGAATATGAGTATGAGCGATGTTTGAACATTGTGTTTTGTGTATGAATCTTGCCAATTTGAGCTCAAACGCTAGAGTGAAACAGATCGAATTTATAAACAAAAAAGAAGGAACAACAGATTGTAGGCAGAAAATATTGTAATCAATAACTTTGAATTGAACAAGATGTTTGAAATTGAACAATCGTTCTCTAAAAAGCTGAGAATTTGACTAAAAGATTTCTCATCTTACAAATCAGGTTTTCATCAAGAGAAAATTGGAAACGAGTTGAAACTTGGGACGTTGATGTTGTGAAAATCCAAATGAACTTTTCACTTTTTTCTCTCTTATTATATGATTTTATCCTTTCCTTTCTCTCTATTTCAGTTCCTCCATTACGTGGAAGTTCAATTGATAATCATCCGAATGCTAAAAGGCAACAGAATGGTATCACTGTCGTTGATGGAAATCGACAAGGCAATGGAATCAATCAACTGTCTTACCCGTATGGTTTGTATGTTGATGATGATCAAACTGTCTATGTCGCTGATGAGTCGAATCATCGTATTGTGGAATGGAAATGGGGTGCGACGAGTGGCCAAGTGGTTGCCGGTGGAAATGGACAAGGAA